CTATCCCTGCCTGTCGCCAACCCCCGGAGCCAGCGAGGGCTGCGGGGGCGGCCCTGATCGTCCCGGGGGTCCCTGGGCTGGAGGGGGGGTGGAACTGAGACAGATCCCGACGTTGTGGCTGTTTCGGGTTTTCTTTGTCTGGAAGTGGAAGAAAGCAGGGGAACAACCAGCCCTCTTGTCCCCAGAACAAACCGGGGTCTCTCCAGTCCCTCCACCTTTTCCCCCCATCTCTCTTTTTCCACCTCCTCCCACATATGCTGTTGTTCTGGGGGGTGCTGGATGGGTTTGGGGTGCTGGATGAGTTTGGGGTGCTGAGGAGGTTACAGGGGGATTCAGGAGGGAATTGGAGCGATACTGGCAGTGGGGGGCTTTGTAGGGATGCTGGGCAGGGGGAAGGATGGGAGGGCACTCTGGGTGAAGGGTTTGGGGGATGCTGAAGAGGGATTTAGGAAGCAGTGCTGGGGGGACTTAGGAGGGAAGCTTTGGAGGGGATAAAGAGAGTTCCTGGGGGTCTTAGGAGAGCTGCTGCTGCAGGCTGAGGGGTTTAGGGGGAAGCTGCAGGGTGGGGGTGCAAACACAGACCCATCAGCACCACCTGCTCAGCAGAGCTGGGCTTTGCGGGGTGCTGAGGGTCACCCTCCCTTTTCCAAGGATCCTTGGAGCAGGACTCCTCTCCTCTGGCAGAATCTGCAAACCCGAGAGCCTTATTTCTCCTGGAGCCCCAGTGGATAGGGGGCGGTTACCCACATTTGGGATGTCCCCCTCTATTTGCTTTGGGAATGGATTAATTCACTGCCCTGGGGCAGCGCTGGGTGTGCCAGGGGAGGACGATTTGGTGCAATTTGGGGTGTTTTTGGCTCAGGAGGGGTGGATTAGGGGACACAGGACGTGGAGGAGAGCCCAGCAGCTGGTTCAACCCTGGAGACTGGGTTTTCAGTCTGCAGAGAGCTCTGCCAGCATCAAACTCCTGCAGTGCTGAAGCATCCAGACATTTCATCAAGAGCCTCATAAAAAAGCCCAGGAGGGAATTAATGGCTTTTCTTTCATCCCGTGGTTCAGATGGCATCCAGCTCCGGGTGGGGAGGCAGGAACAACGTGCCGTGGATTTCTGTCAGCACAGTGAGGGGTTTGGTGGTCCTGGCTTTGTCCCAGAGGGGTGGTGGGACTGGGAGCGCAGGGATGGATTTAATGTGCCTATCTTGGGTGCTGCACTTGGGGTGCACCCCCCTCTCTACCTGCAGGGTGTTCCCATTCCCGTGACGAGGCGGGACAGAGGGGTGCACCCCGCGCGTGGTGCAGGACACGGGGTTTAAGGACCTTCCCGGGATGAAAACCCCCTCCCAGACCCAGAGCGAGGTGTTGAGTCCCTGCCCTGCCCGGCTCTGACGCAGGAGGGCTCCTGATCGCTCCCAGCGGGAGGAAAACGTCAGGTCGAGGAGTGTAAAACAGCTTTTAGCGCGGCTGAGGAGCTCTTTGGAAGAGGACTCATCCCTTTCCTTGGCCCCCGGCACGGCCGGAGCCCCCACCCTGACCCTTCTCCAAGGGGTTATCCACAAAGGACTAATCATCCTGGCAGGTCCCAGCCAACACGTCCTCTCGGCTCAGCTCCGGCGTTGCTTTAATTTTATTCTTTCTCTTTTTTTCTTTCTTTTTTTTTTTTTTTTTCCAGCTGGAATGTTAAAAATAAACCCAGAGAGCACATAAAACAAATGGAAAAATCTTTAAAAGGCCTTTGGTGTTCCTCTGCCTGCTCTCAGTTGTTGCTGCTCTGCCTGCCCAGCCCGGCCACTGCCGTGGATGGGCTTTCCAAAATTGGGGAAACTGAGGCACTTCCATCCCTGGAAGTGTCCAAGGCCCGGTTGGACGGGGCTTGGAGCAACCTGGGATACTGGAAGGTGTCCCTGCCCAAGGCAAGGGGTGGGACTGGACCATCTTTAAGGTCCAAACCCACTCTGTGATTCCATGATCTTGGATCGAGCCCTGCTCTCCCAAGGGATTGCTCCTCTTGGGAAGTTCTCCATGGCAATGCCTTAGCTCTTATTTTCTTATTTTCTCCTCCACACCCTGAAAAACCAATAAATAATAAATCAAATCGAGGAGGTGAGGCTGTCAGGGAGGAAAATTCACGGTGCTCATCTGCCTGGTGAGCTGGGATCCATCCAGAGGGATTTACAGCTGGAGCCACTGACGGCAGAACTTTGATTTACTCAGAGGCTGCAAACTTGACAAAGTGTATTTCACACTGGGAAGACCCACTTTCCCTCCAGAATTTATGGGTTTTAATTAAAGTGGCCGTAAAAATAACAGGCAGGAGCCTTGAATCTACTCTGGCAGGGCTCCAGTCAGAATCCATGGGAATCTCTGGAGGTTAATTTAATGGAGGAGGAAATGGGGGAGGCGAGGGTTTCTCCCCAAAGATTTTTGGGAATTCAGGAGGGCAATGAGCCTCTGTAGGTGCTTCTCACCTTGTCTTGCCACGGCCCCGTTAGGGAGAGGCTTGGGCAGAGCTCTGGTGACACCAGAGCTGCATCCTGTGCCAAGGTGGGAGCCAGGGCAGCTCTGCCAGGTGTAGAACTGTGATAGAAATACTTCCATGTCTAAAATATAAATATGTAAAAATTATTTAGGCGTTTTCATATCACTTCCAGATTGGCAGCCAGCTGGAGTCCTGCCTGTGACATTTCAGGGCTGTGGAGCAGAGAGGGGAAGCTCCAGTTTTTATTCCTCCTCCCTAGTGCTCATCTTCATAGAATCGTGGAATAATGGAATGGTTTGGGTTGGAAAGGACCTTAAAGCTCATCCCCTTCCACCCCCTGCCATGGGCAGGGACACCTTCTACTAGCCCAGGTTGCTCCAAACCCTGTCCAACCTGGCCTTGGACACTTCCAGGGGATGGAAGTGCTCCTTTTTTACTGTTTTTTTAGCCCCAAACTTGAAGAAGCAATGCTGGGACAGCCGAGTGCATGGGCTTTCAGCTGGGGTGAGGGTTGTTTTTGGCAAGAGGAGCAGCCCCCAGTGTCTCCCCCTGGGCTCTCCTGCTTCCCTCAAGGTCCCTGTGCCTCTCTCTCACCTCCCAGTGCTACAAAAGCAGGATTTTATTTGTGCAGGGTTTCACCTTTAAAGCAAATACCGCCCAGACCTGGAGCTCTGTGTCTGTGATCGATCCTGTGGGGATGGGGACACGGTGGCTGAAGTACATCAAATCCCAAAATAATCCTGTTGGGGCAGCAAATGGACAAACCCCTCAACAAATCCACTGCCCTAGAAGTCAAAATCAGATGCTGCTTGGAAAGCCTCTGGAATGTTTCACCTGCATCCTGCCAAGAGAAGGAATCCTGCGCCTGGTTTTGCTCTTGGTAGTGAAAAACACATGCAAAAAGAGCAGGGCTGTGTTTGCATCATCCATCCACCCATCCATCCATCCATCCATCCATCCATCCATCCATCCATCCATCCACCCCCTTGTAGAAGTGATGCACCAGCCCTTGCAGAGGGATTTGCCAGCCCCTCCCTGCTGTCCCTGAGCTGCTGTCACCCTTCTCCAGGGTCTGATCCCCCCATCCCAGCTCAGACACCCAAGCTGTCACCACGGTGGAGGCACCAGGATGGAGCTCATTTTGTGGTGAACCACTTTTTTTGGGGGGGGTGGCTGCGCTGGCACCCAGCTCCTCTCATTTAGGAGGATGAGCCAGGGCCTGTGCAGAACCACACCTTGGGGAATTGCAGCAGAAAATGTCGCTCTGTTTTCTGTAGATCTGAGATGTTTTGGAGTTTTGGAGAGAACGGACCAGATGCTCCACGAGCATCCCAACCGCACCGGTACCCACCGAGCTGCAAGTCCAGGC